GGTTGGCTAGATGATGGAGGGGTGGATGAATGGATGGTTGGCTAGATGGTGGATGGGTGGGCGAATGGATGGTTGGCTAGATGATGGAGGGGTGGGCAGATGAATGGTAGATGACTGATGGATAGATGATTGGGTAGATGGGTGTTGGATGGATGGATGGATGATTGGCTACATGGTGGATTATGGTTGATGACTGGATGGATAGCTGGTGGGTTATTGAACGAATAAGTAGGTGGATGGGAAGACAGACAGACAGTGAGCAGGTGATAATGGTCCAATGAGAATAATCCATTGGTGCTGTGGGCATGCCCCGGGAATCCTAACTGAGTGAGGAGTCAGGATGCCCCAGGAACCCTAACTCAGTGAGGAGTCAGGATGCCCCGGGAACCCTAACTCAGTGAGGAGTCAGGATGCCCCGGGAACCCTAACTCAATGGAGTAAGGAGACGTTTCCATGAAGAGATGACACTTACAATTAGTCCTGAAAAATAGGACTCAACCAAAGAAGGGCAGGGGAGGGGTTCCAGGCAGAATTTTTGTGCCCAGAGGTGGCTGCTTAGAGCGCAGAGTGAGAAGGTCCATGCATTACTGACTTCGCGAGAAGTCGGAGCCTGGAGAGCCCGTCCAGGCGAGAGCAGGGGCTGGAGAGTGAGCGGTGCCGCTTGCGTTTTAGAAAAATCCTTAGTAGCAGAGCCTTCCAGGGGAGTTCCGTGCAGCCGATAAAAGTGATGACGCAGCAGTGTGTCTGGGACACGGAAGGACATTACGATCCAAAGAGCAGCTTATAAAACAGCAAACGCCGCGGCATCTGTTTTGCAGAAAGCCCGTGTACACGTAGGTGTGTAGAAGTAGCTTTGGGCCGGTGCTCGTGCACTGGGGTACCTGTCTCCCTGTGGCAAGAGTAAGGGTGTTCTCTGACTCCTATTGCTCGTTTGTCTGTTCAGGAAGCAAATAATTCTCAAGTGATGAAAAAACGTAAGTTGCTGTTTTAGGGCGCTGGATACCCTGAAGCCCTCCTGTTGAACAATACAGCCTTTTGCAGTGAACTGCTAACGTGATCTGAAATTTTTAATTCAAATTGGTCTGGTGTCAGTAGTACCTCTCAGTGCCTGCCGGTTGTCCCCAGCTCAAGCCGTAGATAATACTCAGAGATAAAGTCCCAACAAACACAAGCTCATAGTAAAAAAAATCACACTACACAAAGGAGCCAGAGTCCGCAGAAACAGGACGCAGCAGAATCAGACCCACCAAGAACTCAGCTGCTGGCATGGGAAATACGCACGTCTCATCAATTTTAAGATGTAAAGGAGAGACCTAGAGACTTGGCACAGAGCCCAAGAGGGTGAGCCACTGCTTGGAAACCAACTGCAGTCCTCGTGAGCAGTGCGTGTGCCGTCAGTAGGAGGCGCTGGTGCCAGTCAGCTCCAGCCGGCACCTGGTGAAATGCGGATATTTCACAAGTAGTCACTAACAAATGGGCGTAGAGTAGGTCATTTTCAGAATGGCAGAGCAGGAAATGGAATGAAGTTTGGAAAAAACAACCAAAAAGGAATCAAGAAAGGACCAGATGGAGACATGAAGGAGAATGGTGGAAGCCCAGACACAGGTGGTAGACATGAACACAGGTGTGTCTGTAATACACCCGCTGTGGACGTGGGGAATGCCAGATGTGGCTGGTTTCCTAAGAAATGATGGAAACCAGCTCCATGTCATTGATGAGAAACACAACTAAACATTGGGGTGTAACAGGCTGGCCAGGGGACAGCTAGAAGAGGCACATCGCCAACACCCAGTGGACAGTTGTGGCCCCACTGCTGTCTGAAGGCAGAAGGGACAGTAGCTGTGAGAAGAGCGTGGGTCCTGTAGTGACCGCCCCAGGTCCTGCCCAGATCTGTTGGCTTATCCTCTGTTTTGGTTGCTTTAAGTTAAATGTTTTCCCCACGCGTCTGTCAGTTTATTGTACTGTGGGCGTTTGCATGTTGCTGTGATGGTGGAAGCTATACTACCCGGTATTCAAATACCAGCAGGGTCACCCATGGTGGACAGGTTTTAGCTGAGCTTCCGGGCTAAGACAGACTAGGAAGAAGGACCCGGCAGTCTACTTCTGAAAAGAATTAGCCAGTGAAAAGCTTACAAATAATAGCGAAACATTGTCTAATATAGTGCTGAAAGATGAGCCCCTCAGGTTGGAAGTCACTCAAAATACAACTGAGGAAGAGCTGCCTCCTCAAAGTAGAGTCGACCTTAATGACATAGATGGAGTCAGGCTTTCGGGATCTTCATTTGCTAATGTGGCATGACTCAAAATGAGAAGAAACAGCAGCTGCAAACATCCATTAATAATTGGAAGCTGGAATGTATGATGTATGAATCTAGGAAAACTGGAAATCGTGAAAAATGAAATGGAATGCATAAAGATCGATATCTTAGGCATTAGTGAGCTGAAATGGACTGGTATTGGTCATTTTGAATCGAACAGTCATATGGTCTAATATGCTGGGAATGACAGCTTGAAGAGGAATGGCGTTGCATTCATCGTTGAAAAGAATATTTCAAGATCTATCCTGATATACAACGCTGTCCGACAGGATAATATCCATACACCTACAAGGAAGACCAGTTAATACGACTATTATTCAAATTTATGTACCAACCACTAAGGCCAAATATTAAGAAATTGAAGGTTTTTACCAACTTCTGCAGTCTGAAGTTGATGGAACATGCAATCAAGATGCACTGATAATTACAGGTGATTGGAATGCAAAAGTCGGAAACAAGAAGAAGGATCGGTAGTTGGAAAATATGGCCTTGGTGATAGAAATGATGCCAGAGATCGCATGATAGAATTTTGTAAGACCAGTGACTTCTTCACTGCAAATATTTTTTTTCACCAACATAAACGGTTACTATACACATGGACCTTGCCAGGTGGAATACGCAGGAATCAAATCGACTACATCTGTGGAAAGAGATGTTGGAAAAACTCAATATCATCAGTCAGAACAAGGCCAGGGGCCAACTGCGGATTAGACCATCAATTACTCTTATGCAAGTTCAAGTTGAAACTAAAGTGAATTAGAACAAGTTCACGAGAGCCAAAGTACAACCTTGAGTATATCCCACCTGAATTTAGAGACCATCTCAGGAATAGATTTGACGTGTTGAACACAAATGACTGGAGACCAGATGAGCTGTGGAATGACATCAAGGACATCATACGTGACAAAAGCAAGAGGTCACTAAAAAGGCAGGAGAGAAAGAAAAGACCTAAATGGATGTCAGAAGAGACTCTGAAACTTGCTCTTGAACGTTGAGTAGCTAAAGCAAAAGGAAAAAATGATGAAGCAAAGAGCTAAACAGAAGCTTTCAAAGGGCAGCTTGAGAAGACAAAGTGAAATATTATGATGACATATGCAGAGACCTGGAGATAGAAAACCAAAAGGGAAGAACACCCTTGGCATTTCTCAAGTTGAAAGAACTTCAGAAAAAATTCAAGCTTTGAGTTGCAATACTGAAGGATTCTACGGAGAAAATATTAAACAGCGCAGGAAGCATCAAAAGAAGATGGAGGGAATACACAGAGTCACTATACCAAAAAGAATTAATTGACGTTCAACTATATCAGGAGGTAACATATGATCAGGAACCGATGATGCTGAAGGAAGAAGTCCAAACTGCACTGAAGGCACTGGCGAAAACAAGGCTCCAGGAATTGACGGAATAACAATTGAGATGTTTTAGCAAACGGATGCAGTGCTGGAGGTGCTCGCTTCTCTATGCCAAGAAATTTGGAAGACGGCTACCTGGCCAACTGACTGGAAGAGATCCATATTTATGCCTGTTCCCAAGAAAGGTGATCCAACCAAATGCAGCAATTATCGAACAATATCATTAATATCACATGCCAGCAAAATTTTGCTGAATATCATTCAAAAGCGGCTGCAGCAGTGTATCTACAGGGAACTGCTAGAAATTCAGGCTGGATTCAAAAGAGGATGTGGATCCAGGGATGATATTGCTGATGTCAGATAGATCATGGCTGAAAGCTGAGAATACCAGAAAGATGTTTTATTGACTATGCAAAGGCATTCGACTGTGTGGATCATAACAAATTATGGAAAACATTGTGGAGAATAGGAATTCCAGAACACTTAATTGTGCTCGTGAGGAACCTGTACATGGATCAAGAGGCATTTGTTTGAACAGAACAAGGGGATACTACATGGTTTAAAGTTAGGAAAGGTGTGCGTCAGGGTTGTATCTTTTCACCATACCTATTCAAGTCTGTATACTGAGCAAATAATCTGAGAAGCCGGACTATATCAAGAAGAACAGAGCATCAAGATTGGAGGAAGACTCATAAACAACCTTGCAATATGCAGATGACACAACCTTGCTTGCTGAAAGTGAAGAGGACTTGAAGCACTTACTGATGAAGATCAAAGACCACAGCCTTCAGTATGGATTACACCTCAACATAAAGAAAACAAAAATCCTCACAACTGGACCAATAAACAACATCATGATAAACGGAGAAAAGATTTAGGTGGTCAAGGATTTCCTTTTACTTGGATCCACAATCAACACCCATGGAAACAGCAGTCGAGAAATCAAAAGACACATCATATCGGGCAAATCTGCTGCAAAAGACTTCTTTAAAGTGTTGAAAAGCAAAGATGTCACCTTGAGGACTAAGGTGCACCTGACCCAAGCCATGGTGTTTTCAGTCACCTCATAGGCATGTGAAAGTTGGACAATGAATAAGGAAGACTGAAGAATTGACGCGTTTGAATTGTGGTATTGGCGAAGAATATTGAGTATACCATGCCAAAAGAACTAAGAGATCTGTCTTGGAGGAAGTAGAACTAGAATGCTCCTTAGAAGCAAGGATGGCAAGACGACGTCTCACGTAGTTTGGACATGTCATCAAGAGTGCTCAGTCCCTGGAGAAGGACATCATGCTTGGTAAAGCAGAGGGTCAGCAAAAAAAGAGGAAGACTCTCAACGAGGTGGATTGCCACAGTGGCTGCAACAATGGGCTCAAGCATAACGATTGTGAGGATGGCGCAGGACCGGGCAGGGTTTCATTCTGTTGTGCGTGGGGTTGCTATGAGTCGGAACTGACTGGACGGCACCCAGCAACGAGTTAAATGTTCAGTGTTGATGCTGATCGAAGCGTGGTGTTGTTTGTGTCTCTCGTGTCACACGGCTTTGACCTGACTGAGCAGACTCGTTCTCTGTGGCGGTTACTTCTGGCGTTCTTCCTGTTTCTCATTCTTGGTGTTTCTTTTCCGTCTCTTGTCGCTCTGATGTCCACTGTGACGTCGCACGACAGGCTCCTTCCCTCCTCTCCCTCTGTGGCCACCCACCGTGGGCTTCTCCCCAGGCTTTGCTTTGGGGGCGTGGGGAGCCTCTTAGCCCCCCTGTGTCCCCCAGACTCCCTGGGCGTGTCCCGGGGCCATGCCCAGGTGCTGGGAGAGGGTGCTGCAGTGCCCACTGGCACGTTCTAACCTGCTCTGTCTTGTGTGGTGTTTTCCAGGATTTCTTCTTCTATTCTCTAGTCTATGACCCCCAGCAGAAGACCCTGCTGGCCGATAAGGGGGAGATCCGCGTGGGGAACCGGTACCAGGCTGACATCACTGACTTGCTGAAGGAAGGTACGGGGACCAACCAGCGCATACCCGCGGGGTGGGGGAACAGGGGGGACAGGGCGCTGACTGCCTCTCATCCAGCCTTATCTGTGGGTGGCGGTAGGGTCCCAGTGGTGCGTCCCAGGCCCCTGAGATGGGACTTAACAATGACACTACCTGGCACGTGGGGTTTTGATCCCTGTCCGCAGTTATTTCCCATTAGTTTCCTAAAGCTCTTTCTCCAAAAATCTTCCCTCCATTTATGGCTCTGCAGGCAGTTTGCCGACCTTGCCTGGGGATGGCCCTTTGTGCGGAAACTGCCCACGTGGCTGATGGGGCGGGAGGTTGTGGACGCTCATGGGGCAGGCACGGATGCAGGGGCAGGAGTGGATGCTCGTGCAGTGACAGGGCAGACGTGGATGCTCATGTGCAGGGGCAGGGCTGACGACGCTCATGGGGCAGGCGAGGACACAGGCAGGTGCGGATGCTTATGCAGGACGCTCACCTGCAGGGCAGGTGTAGACACAGGCAGGTGCGGATGCTTATGTAGGACGCTCACCTGCAGGGCAGGTGTAGACACAGACGGGGCAGGCATGAATGCTCAGGCGTGGACGTGGACTGTGCCCCACCCATCCCCTCCCTGGCACCTGGACCACTCTTCCAGGCTGGCCCGAGGCATCCCAGAGGCTGATGGTTGTCCATCTTCCTCCCGGTCACATCCATCCCAGCCCTGGGGGGTGAGGGATGGGGCACTTGCTTTACCCCACTTCTTTTTTGGGGACAGCATGACTTGCTCCTGGAGGTTAGTAACCAGCTGGGTTCGGAGAGCAAGTGCCTGATGGAGGCCACGCCAGCCCCTCAAACGAGCACACCTCACCCGGGGGGCCTCCTTCTAGCCTCGGGGGCCTGGTGTTCTCAGGGTGTTGGGACCCCAAGTCCCCACGGGGTGGGCAGAGCTGCTGTGGTACCACGGGAGGGGCGGGACCCCAGAGCCCAAGTGCATCCGGCTTCAGAGCCCCGGCCCCTCCTCGTCCTCCTGACGTCACCTCAGCTTCCCTCTTCCCTTCCTCTCCCCCGGCTGTCACCTGCGGCCTGGTGTCCACTGCATCCCCACAGAGCATTTCAGGGCCTCCTGTGACGTAAGCGGAAGATGGTGCTGAACGTCCGCCTCAAAGCCAGGGCGGAAACGCGCGGGTGTCAGCGCGCGGGACTGGGGTGGGGTGTTGTCACGGTGACTGAGAGGTGGGATGGAGCACCTGCGGCCACTGGCTGGGCCTCCTAGTCAGCAAGGCGGTGGGACACGCCCGAGCTCAGCTCTGTGAGCTGTGAGGTGTCCTGGGCCACCCTGGTGAAGGCTGTGATACACCCAGCCCGTGGGTCAGCAGAGCCCATGCTGCTAAGGATGGGCCTCGGCGCTGGGGCTCTCAAGGGACATGAGTGGGCAGGGGACCGGGGCCGGGCCAACCAGCCTCTTCCTCTGGGGCTTTGGGCCCGTGTAGCTGGGTCAGAAACGCCTTCTCCGCTCCCAGCATTCACTTCCGGGGCCGGGACAGCCTCATTCTTGCAATGAAACCTTTCTTCCACTCTGCATTTATCTTGTTGGAGCCTGGAGATGGGGTTGTCTGACAGGCCCCCGCGCTAAGGAAGTGGCTTTATGCAGTCCCCGTCAGTGTAGACTCTGCCACCTCTGAGCTGTCAGGACAGACTCTTGTCCCACAGAAACTGTATCTCCACATTTAAAGACATTCCCAAATTTGTATGTATACATGTGTGTACATATACATACACAGGTACACGTATGCACATGTGCACAGACATGTACATAAATGCATACATATGTACTTTTGTCCCATAGAACTCTGTTACTATGTTTAAAGGCATTCCCAGATGCTGTATATGTGTGTGCGTATACACGTAACATACACACTTGTGTGTACACTTATTGAGGGAAATCCTCCCACAGTCAGCAGATTTAAAGTGTGCACCAGCGTATTGCGTGTATTTACCATGTTGTCAACTGCCACACCGTGTGTTTTTAAGTAACGTGGGTGACCGCCTGGAAGGTTAAACCTATGAGAGGGTGCATCTGGCGGGGGGGGGTTGGAGAAGGGCAAGCAGAGACGGAGTGGAGTGGTGAGTAAAATAATAAAATTTTAAAACAAAGATAGGAGACCGACCTGTGATCCTGGCCTCTGACTGCTGTGGAGCCCTGGCACACAGCACTGGTGTATGACTCGGGCTTTGTGGTCTCGGGTCCTGGGGATCTTCCACACAGAGGAGGGGGGTGACTGCCCCTGGATGCCCCATCTGCTGTCATGGTTGTTCTGCTGTGTTTGCTTTGTCTTTATTTCGTTTTGCTGAAATATTTTGAAGTAACTCACAGGCCTTGTGCCTTTTCATCCCTGAATACGTGTTAGCAGCTTTAGGAATGAGGAGGGACACACAGGGTAGACACAGTGCTGTCATCCTGCCTGGCCGTTGGCTGAGCACCCCAACAGCACCTGCGGCCCCTTCCACATTCCCGCTCCCTCATGCCCCTCAGAATGTCCCATCGGGACCTCCATGGCTTCTTGGTGAGCCAGCACAGAGGACTTGGTTGTAAAATGCCCCAAAACAGCAAAAGCTGTTGTCCTGGAGAGCTCCCAGTTTCCACCAGGCAGATTTTCCCAGAATCACGTGTTTGGCCTGCACCACAGCAGAGTGGTGAGGGGAGCAGGTGGGAGCTGTGCCCACACTCACTGTTGCTCACAGTACCACTCCCACAAGGTGCTGGGCTTAGGGAAGGACGGGCAGACCTCGTCCTTGCCACCTGAGGCAGGTTGCCCTGAACAGTCCGCAGGCTCTGGGAGAGAGGTGGCAGTGGGCTGGCCACGGACAGGGCAGCTGGAGGAGGCACTGTCCAGGAAGGACACCATGACCGAGGGCTCCAACGAGGCTGGCAGGAGAGGTGGCGGCGGCATGGCAGAGGGGACGGGGCCCCTGTGAGTCAGGCTGTGTCAGCCGAGGCCTGTGTCAGCTGAGGCCCATGTCAGCCGAGGCCCATGTCAGCTGAGGCCCATGTCAGCTGAGGCCCGTCTTAGCCGAGGCGCATGTTAGCCCTTCCTTGGTGGCTTATTTGCTTTATGCCCATCTCCTGCTCACTTTACCGTCCCCACAGGTGACCGTTTCCTGTGGAGTGCGTGTCCTCTTGTCTGTGTGCGTGGTGCATCGTGAAGGCACCCACTGTGTGCTCTGCACCGTGTCAGGCTCACCATGCCGCTCTGCACCACATCAGGCCACTGTCCCAGCCCCACGTGTATGCCTGCCACACGGTACGATTTTGCCGGTCATACATTTCAGGCCCAAAGCTCGTCCAGTGCTCTGACACGTGGCTGGGTGCGCTCCTCTGGCCCCGTGCCGTCAGCAGGTCCCACTGTGTCTGATTCCAGATCACGGCCTTATAGTCTGCGGGAGTGTGTGTAGGACAGTGGGGGAGGCCGAGGGAAACAACAGGTGTGGTGAGCTGTCATCTCACCTGGGACTCCAAGTCTGTGACTTCTCTGCCTCACACACTTCTCGGGGGTTGACCACCAAGCCTGGGCCTAAGAGGCCGGCCAAGAACTCAGGAAAATGTTGGTGTGTCCAGAGTGCGGGACTCTCAGCCCACCCGCCCGTTCTCAGCCCCCACCTCGCTCTCAGCCCCCCCGCTCTCAGCCCCTCCCCGCTCTCAGCACCCCCAGCCCCCCTTTCCCAGTGGAGTACCCACAGACATTCATTGCAGAGGTGACGGGGCTGTGGCTGCTAAACTGGTGGAGCAGATAGGCTCCTTGAACTCGGCTCTACCTCAGAAGCACCTGGTGGGGGGCAACTGGGTATGAGGGTGCCAGGCCAGAGGCAGGGGTCTCATCTAGCCCACCTGCTGTTCAGCGGCTGAGCTGGGACTCAGGGTCTTTGGGGGTAAAGGCTGCATCCGTTGCTTCGTGATGCCCTTGGCTACCTTTCGCCAGGGCTCGAGTCGGTGCATCTTATAGGGCCGCGTCTTTGCAGTGCTCAGCCTGCGGCACGGGACAACTGTAGGCAGGACTGTCCCCCAGACAGTGGCCCAGGCCACCCCGAGCCCAGGGCAGGCCACTAGCCAGTGCCCCACAGGCCGGAAGCAGATGTTTCCTGAGCATCACGCTGCCTGCCTGAGCCCTCGGGACATGAAGGAGCCTGGGTCACAGTGGATGGGTCACCGACTCCGGATCGTAGGCACCGAGGTCACAAACACTGGGTCGCAGAGGGCAGTCGATGGGCTCTTTTGCAACACGTAAATCGGATACGCAGTGTTGAATTATGGATGCAGCGCCTGGCCAGCAGACAAAGGACTCCTGGGCCTCCTCAGTGCCCCAGCCACGCTCAGGCGGGCTCTTCCGCAGTTCCCTGCACGACTGTTCTCTGCAGGCGAAAGGGCTGTTTCGTAGGACACCTTCCCCGCCGCCTGGCTGACCCCAGCTTCATCAGGCAGCACCTGGTGGCGGCCTTGCCAGCACTGGGGCCCCCCAGAATCCTCAGCACCCCGTGCAAAGAGACGAGCTGGACTGGGGCTGCACTCTCTAGGGGAGCTCGAGGTGGCCAGGCTGGGGCCCCTCACCTGGGAAACGAGGACAGAATAAAATGGGCCCTTTGGTCCCATTAGGGTCCATGTGCACTGGGGCTGTCCCATGTCCTTGCTGACCCGTGCCCGGCAGGGGTCTTGCATACCGGCTGTTGCGACGAGGTCTCCGTGTCGCTTCCTGCAGCTGCCTGTGTGTCTGCAGAGATCGCAAACTAAAAAGTGTCATTAAAGGCGCCACCCCAGGCCTCCCGGGAGCCTGCTGTTGGTCCCAGCCACTGTCACAGCTGTGCTCTGAGCAGGGGCCAGGCCTGGGCCTCTCAGTCTCTCCGGAGTCCTTGGCCAGAGATGACTGGGCCCCACTTGGCCTGGGTGCTGTGCATCTCCAGGTGAGAGTCCACTGCGTGCTCAGCCTGCCCCTGAAGCTCTGTGTAGCCCCTGCCCACCACCTGCCTGTCCACCTTGAGCGTTCCCCAGATCTGGGGCAGGAGAGTGCAGGCCAGGGAAGGGGACAGGCCCATGGAGGCACGAGGCCTGCCTGTGGCCAGGGCTGCTTTCAGAAGGCAGCCTGCCTCACGCAGCTGGGGGTTCCTTTCCTGCAGGCGAGGAGGACGGGCGTGACCAGTCCAAGCTGGAGACCAAGGTCTGGGAGGCGCACAACCCTCTCATCGACAAGCAGATCGACCAGTTCCTGGTGGTGGCCCGGTGAGCAGGGGGCGGGCGGGTGGGTGCAGGGGCCAGGGCCACGGTGTCTGTCTTGGAGAGACACCCATCATGAGTAGTGTGGAAGCCACAGGGCCAACTGCTCTGGGTCCTCCTGACCGCAGGCTTTGCCCCTGAAGAAGCCCCAGTGGTTCCCTAAGATGGCTACTTCGGGGCTAAGGCTGGGTGTGCATTCTGAGGGGCCGGGCAGGGGTAGGGCTCTGGGGACCGTGCCACCAATGGAGCAGCTCCCACTTGTGCAGGAGCCCTGGTGGGTGTGGGAGGGAGAGGGTGGGCGTGGGGGGAGAGGGTAGGGGTGGAGGCGTGGGGTGCCGCCACTGTCAGCTGAGCTTAGCGACGGCTGAGGAACGAGACAGAACTCCAGAGATGACTCCTGAGTTTTCAGCACGGAGGAGGGGACCTGAGGGCCCTCCGATAAGCAAGCTCTGGCCAGGGTTGCAGACAGTCTAGACAAAGCGTGGGAGGAAGTTAAGTCCTTGGCCTCTCAGCCCCGAGGTGGCCGCATGGAGCTGTGACTCTGAGTCTCCTGTCCTCCAGCTCTGTGGGCACCTTTGCGCGTGCACTGGACTGCAGCAGCTCCGTCCGCCAGCCCAGCCTGCACATGAGTGCTGCAGCCGCTTCCCGGGACATCACCTTGGTGGGTGCCTGCTGTCCTCCCCATGTTCTGGGCACCGGTGGGCTGGGGGTAACCTGGTGGTCCTCAGGCTGCCAGGTTGTCTCTCTCTCTCACACACACATTTCACACCCCCTGCTCTTTAAGGGCAGGTGCACCTTCCAGATCCGTGTGTACAGGGTGCATTCTCCTTGGGGTCCCCCCCAGCCAGGAGGGATGCGAAGTAACCTGGGCCATCCTGTCTGCTCCCCGCAGAGGGCTGGGTAGGCGCCACAGCCCTGGGAGAGCCCCCAGGTGGAGGCACAGCCCAGAGACGCATGAGGCTAACTCCTGCGCCTGGACTCTGTCTCTGTTCCCTGGGGTCCATTTGGGGAAGTGAGAGCCTCTCACCAGCTTCCTGGGTCCCCTATGGAGGGCTCTCCTACCAGCCCCCAGAATGAGCCCACTGCCGTTTGCAGCTCTCCTCTCCCTACATGTCCCTGAGGCCCAACTGGGCCCCATCCACCCACTAGCACCGGAGAACTTCCCTTGCTCTTCCCAGGTGGGTGGGGTGGCCCATCCTGGATGGACAAGACTGGGGGTGGGGGGTGGGGGGTGCTGCCCCAACTGCCCCCACGGGGCCTCTGCCTGAAGAGTTTTCTCTTACCAAACACTAGCCATGTGTGCAGGCAGAGGATGGGCATACCTCCATGGGGATGGCGTCCACAAAGGAAGGGTGTGCTTGGGGCTGGGGGATGAGGGCAGGGGTCAGGGAGGCTCTGCAGATGTGGTAGGCAGGCATGGGGCCAGGCCAACCCCTCACCATCTCATGCAGTTCCACGCCATGGACACGCTCCACAAGAGCATCTATGACATCTCCAAGGCCATCTCGGCCCTGGTGCCGCAGGGTGGGCCAGTGCTGTGCCGGGATGAGATGGAGGAATGGTCTGCCTCCGAGGCCAACCTCTTTGAGGAGGCCCTGGAGAAGTACGGGAAGGACTTCACAGACATCCAGCAGGACTTTGTAAGTGCCGTGGGGGCGGGACACGCAGGTAGGCAGGAGGAGCTTTGGTGCTGTGGCCCTGCCATGCGGCGGGGGCGCTGTGCATGGGCACTGGGCCACACCTGGCTAAGGTGGGGCCGTTCTGCCCACTCGTGCCCCCTGTGGCCCCTGGAAGGTTATCGGCCAGGAGACGGTCAGTGCTGCACCCCCATGGCCCGGCCACCCCCTGCCTTCACCCCCTTTTGTTAAGTCACACGTGTCCGACTGTGGCTGCTTCTGGCACTGGTTGGACTGCTGACCCACAGCCAGCCCCCTCATCACAGCCGCATCTCCCATGTGATGTCATGGCCCCCTCCCCAGCCCATAGCGCCTCTTTCCGTGCAGCTCCTCCAAGGCAGGACATGGCCCCCAGAGGCCACGCGTGTCCTGCCCCGCCTTGTCTGTTAATGGCCATCGTGGTGCTGAGGCCACTGGAAGGGAGAGGACAGCAGAGGGGCACCTGGCCAGAGCCTGGGGTTAGAGCACTTCTGTGGCTGGGGGCTCATCCTTGGGTGGTCGCTGGGGGTTTCCTCACCAAGACTTACCAACCCTGTCCTTGTCTTTGGTTCTTAAATTTTTGTTCTTATTTTTTGGTCTGTTTTTCAGTAAACTTATTTATATCTCTGTAACTTCCCACCCATGAGTCTGGGGTCTTCTGTGTAGTGAGCTTGTCTGCCCTGTGCCCTATGGGAGCTCCAGTGTAAGCAGAGTGAGCTGTGCCCTCCAGAGCTTTCTCCCCTTAAACCTGCAAAATGCATTGAGAATCACTGAAAGGCAGCACATTCCTGGAGCTAGGGACAAAGCTCAATAGGCTGTCCTGGCAGAGAGTGAGCGAGCAGGCTGGGAGGGGAGAACAGGGTGGGGCATGACTTCCCAGGAGGTGGGAGCTGTCTCAGGACAGGGAAGGAGCCTATGAGCAGGGTCAGGACACGGGATCGCTATCATCTGATTGAGAATGCCACTTGGAGCAGTAAACGGCAAAGCTGACAGGACAGAGCCAGATCAGTGCAGCAGACACTTGGGAAATGTCCAGAAAGCACAAGAAGTAAACACAGGGTGAAAGAGACGAGGAGCCTCACAGACTAAGGGGCCAGCCTGGAAGGAGAAGTGATGTTGATGTTGGACAAAGATGGCCCAAGCCTGGCCAGACAGCAATCCCCCAGGGGTCATTGATGGACCAGCCAAGGTCCTCTAGGGCAAAACTCAACCCTGGAGCAGTATCTTCTGTTAGGAAGAGCAACAAATCTGTGCCAAGTACCAACGCAAGAGAGAGTGTTGTGGATGGGAGGGCAGACGGCTGCTCTCCTGACCAGCCTAGAGAACTGGAGGCCTCTGCAACCCATATATGTGTATAACTTTGGCTAAATAAACTAAGCAAACTGAGAGAGAGACCTTTTCAATGAACCAGATGACATGAGCTAGAAATGGAATGCATCAGTTGGACTCAGAGCCAGTGAGGCCATGAATAGACTGGACAGAATTTAAGGTAGAAAGCACTGGACAAGGTCATGACGGGCAGATTCACCGAAGCTGAACCTACATGTGCCAAACTGTGTAGCAACAAAACCTAAAGCAAACCCTGGTAGAAACAGAAGGAGGAGTTGAAGCAACATCCTCCGGTATTTTCCTTCCCAGCAGATCAAGTGGATTACAAGTATAAGTTATCTGAATTCTATATTTAACAAGGCAGAATTATTAGATAAATTCATACCACAACATACACTTTTTCCCGTGTGTTTTTAGAAAATGGATTATAATAAAAATACCCGTAAATACCAAAGAAGCAGAAACTTTACAGCTGGGTTCTCTAACCATGTTACTAGGTTTTACTAAGGGCCAAAACTCAATCCCTTAGAAATTAAGAAAAAAATGTCATCCTCTACAGTAGTTTCAAATAGAACTCAAGAGTACAATAGAACACTAGAGAACAATTTTGATGAAAACATTGCAAACCTAAAATCCTTGGGATGTAGCCAAGGAAACACTTAGAGGAAAATTCATAGCTTTAAATGCTACTGTCTACAGAAGGGAAAACATTACATTAACTTGAGCAATGATCCTTAGCTATTATAGAAGGAATAGGAAATATATGAGGAAGAAGCCATAAAGTGATTGTTTGGCCCAGAAAAGAAGTGTTTTAAGAAATCTAGAGTTGAGACTAACGTGAAGCACAGCCTCGTCAAGTGGCTTCATAAAGGCGAGGTGTGCGGCCGCTGGTCCTGCCGTGACGTGACCCTGTTGGGGCTCTGTGGCCTTGTGGGTGCCTGGCAGTCAGAGTCAGTTTTATTTTCTAACTTCTCTTCAGTGTGAAATTTCCTTTTGTTTTGGCATCTTGTTTACAGGGGAGGGGAGGCAGGCCAGCACAAAGCTTCGAGCATGTGCCTCCCTGCCTCTGTGCCCCACTCTCTGGGACTCCACCGCTGGCCTTCTTTACACTTCACAGTGTCCTCTCCTGTGTGACCCCCTCCCTGTTCTGTCCCATCACCTGTCTGGGGTGGCCCGCCTGCTGCCCTGTGTGACATGACACACCCTTTCTCCTGCCCAGCTCCCGTGGAAGTCTCTCACCAGCATCATCGAGTACTACTACATGTGGAAGACAACTGACAGATACGTCCAGCAGGTGGGCGAGCCCCCCACGGTGCGCCCATGTTGCCGACACACAGACCCCAGTCCCCAATCCTCCTTGGGATGTCCCACCCAAGCTCCTCACAGGCGCTGCGCCAGTAGACGGGGATGAGCTCGGGACAGACAACTTTGAGAGGCTCCCGGCTGTGCTCAGACCCTGGGCGAGGCCCCTCCCTCTAGCCGTTGCCCAGGTTCCGTGTAGATTTGGGATGACTTTCCTGGGGCTTGGCCGTGTGCCTTCTGTGACAGACAATGGTGCTGTGTCCCTCACCACAGGTCTCTGAAATCAGCCTGGCCTTTCAGCCCAGCTTCCCATCCTGGTAGGGGGAGGGGGTGCCCACTGTGCCTAGCTGACCTCTGACCCTTTGTTTTGTGTGTTTTAAGAAACGCTTGAAAGCAGCTGAAGCTGAGAGCAAGTTAAAGCAAGTTTATATACCCAACTAGTAAGTGTCGCCCTCGCAAGCCTGGGGCCAGTGGTATGATCACAGGCGGGGTTCCGGGGTCAGAGGCAGGTCCCCATGGGTGGGTCCCGTCGAGCCGGGAAGCCCTCTCAGGGACCACAAGGTGGGTGGGGCTCCCACACTGCCCGGCTCAGGCTCTGCGGCATCAGGGCTGAGAACATGGTTCTAACTGGGGCAGGTGGGTCTGGTTGAGGAGCCCTGGAGAGCACATCACTGTGGTGGGCGGCTGTGACAGCCCTGGACGGAGGAGGTAGGGTCTGGCCCCTTTGGGGTTCTAGGAGCCCCGTGATGCCTAGCTGTGGCCCAGTGCTGGACACACGGGGGTCTCAGGAGTCAGTGAGGTATTTGGCCGTGAGGCTGGACAGTCGCACTGCTGAGAGGTGGGCAGTGGCCGGCTCTAGTGCTCGGCCTCAGAGCTGATGGTTTAGAGACTCTCTGCATGGCAGGTAGAAAGTCCCTCGGAGCTGCTTCTAGGCGGCTGGACGGACAGAGGGCACAGGGACGCTGGTCTGGGGCGGGGTCTGCTTTCAGCCCCCTTGCAGGCTGGCTCTCCATGACGTCATTCCTTCTCTTCCTTGTTTTCTAAGCAACAAGCCAAACCCAAACCAGATCAACGTCAACAGCGTCAAGGCGGGTGTGGTGAACGGCACAGGGGCGCCAGGCCAGAGCCCCGGTGCTGGCCGGGCCTGCGAGAGCTGTTACAGTAAGTGATGCTGCGCCAGGCCTGCCCCACAGACTGCGCCCGCAGTGCCGGCCGGGGCCCCTTCTTGTTCCCAAGCCCAGAGAGTTCTACAGTGGCTTGGCCAGGGGAGGGGCCGAGTCTTGTAGAGGTTCGGGGTGGGCGTGGGGGAGCCAGGGAGGAGCACCGCCCCTCTTGGGACTCAACTCTGGACATGTGTGCAGGCGGGTGGGCAAGGCACATGTAGGCGGGGTCCCCAGCAGGCGGGGTCCTGGCGGGGGGTGGGAGGTGGGTGGCAGCTCTGAAATGCTCTGACATCACTGGTTCTGTTAAGAACATGTATATCTTCAACTTTGTTGTCCGTAGCCACACAGTCTTACCAGTGGTATTCTTGGGGTCCCCCTAACATGCAGTGTCGTCTCTGTGCCTCTTGTTGGACATACTGGAAGAAATATGGTGGCTTGAAAATGCCAACCCGCTTAGATGGCGAGAGGCCGGGACCTAACCGCAGTAACATGGTAAGCAGGTGCTCCTCCTTCGCCCACCCCCGTGCCCTGCCCTGTGCCCCTGGCTGGCCCCCAGTCATGGCGCTGTGTTGGGCCGCCGTGCCCCTTCCACAGAGTCCGCACGGCATCCCGGCCCGGAGCAGCGGGAGCCCCAAGTTTGCCATGAAGACGAGGCAGGCCTTCTACCTGCACACCACCAAGCTGACGCGCATTGCCCGACGATTGTGCCGTGAGATCCTGCGTCCCTGCCACGCCGCCCGGCACCCCTACATGCCCATCAACAGTGCCGCCATTAAGGCCGAGTGTGAGTGTCTGTCCCTGCAGGACAAGGGAGGACGCTGGCAGTGTGATGACCGATATGTGGCCCTCTACCACCCTGCCGAGGGGCCCAGGCCAGGGGAGGGTCTGTAGCCCTGACGGGAGTCCGCCTGTAGCTCCCAGGGCCCCCCTTTCCTCCTCTGTGTGCCAGCCTAGTAGCCAGGCCGAGACACCCAGGTGGCTCCCCTCAACGCAGCATGTTCCCCGCAGGCACAGCCCGGCTGCCCGAGGCCTCTCAGAGCCCGCTGGTGCTGAAGCAGGTGGTACGGAAGCCCCTGGAAGCCGTGCTCCGGTACCTCGGTAAGCCCGTCCTTCCCAGAAGGCCACACTGGGCAGCCTGGAGGGAGGGGCCTCAACGGTGCCCAGAGACTGGGGGTGTCCCGGGACAGCGCCCCGCACACCTGCCGTACCTGCCGCCTGGCCCGGGAACTACCCTTGGGTACGACCACTCGGCCCCCGTGCACCGTGCCAGGTTCAGGCTGAGCAGAGGGCCTGTGCTGCTCCTGGCTCCCGGTCCTGGGGGCCCAACGGCCCTGACCCGTCCCAAGTGGTGTGAGGGGTGGTCTCTGCCCCTGGACACACCAGGATCACAGTGTTCTCGTGCAGATGGGCCTTTGCTGAGGTCTGGCTGTAGAAAGTGGGCCGTCTCAGGCCTCAGACCAGACCCTGGCCAGTGGCCTCGCAGGGAGCACCTCTCTGACCCTCTGCTGATGCCCTCTGCCCAGCCCTGCCCCCTGCCCAGCCCACCACAGGCATCCTGCTCCGAGGGCTCTGCCAATGGCCAGGAGGAGCTGAGTGGCCAGCTGGGCCTGTGAGTCAGCTCCTCTGGTGTGGAGGTGGCTTTGTCCCCATGAGGGACATTCCGGGGCCATGAGCTCACTGCCCACAGACACCATGGCTCTGGCCCCACTTGCTGGGTGGGGTCAGCCAGGCTTGGCCGTGCTTCATCCTGTGGGTGTCGACCGGCTCCCCTGAAGGCCACCAGAGCCTCTGAGTGACTCCCGAACCCTGGCAGCCAGCTCCTCCCAGTCAGACCCAGATGTAGCCCGGGGACTCGCATGGGGACAGGCCCCAAGCAGCCAGCCTATCATCTGGCCACCTGCCAGCCCTCTGCCTTCCAGCCCCAGTGGCCCGGAAATGGGACATCTCGGGGCAGGGTGTGCTCCGTCTGGGCCTGCTTTTGGGTCCTGGCCATCCCAGGCTGGTGGCTGCGGGGTTGGCCACGCAGTGGGCATGTGCCAGTTGTGGGGCATTCTGGGCCCACGGCAGCCTCGGCCTCGGGGTAGTGACCTCCCCTCGCCCCAGTCGGAGGTTCTCATGTTTCCCTGTGTGGCCCCAAGGGGGAGGGACAGGGACAGGTCGGGGGCAGGTCGTACAGGGATACACCTCTCCCTCCTCGGGACCCCCTGTTGTGGCCCAGTCAGGAGGGGCCCCTTGGTGCCCCAGATCGGCCATGTCCTTGTCCAGGCCTCCCCCAAGGCCCACAATGTGCTGGGAAGCTGAGAGGGCTGAGGGAGGGGGTCCAGAGGCACCTCGACCAGAACCCCCACACGGCCCTCCCTGTGGCCTGGGGCTGCATATCTAGGGAGCGCTGTGCTGGCTGCAGAGGGAGGGCAGTGAGGACCCCTCATAGGGCCGTCTCAGCCAGTGGCACGTGGCTGTTGATGGTGTCACCGGTACCCTTGAGGCAAAGCCTCAGCCTCCCAGCCTCCCCACCTGTGCCCGCCCGGCCTCCTGTGCCCTGCCCTACCGGGCAGCTGCCCTCACCCTGCGGTGTCTCCCTGACAGAGGCCCACCCTCGCCCGCCAAAGCCGGAGCCCGTGAGGGGCGCGGCTGGTGTGCCCGGCAGCCTGACCCCCGCCAAGGCAGCCCCGGTCATCAACAGCGGCTCCCCCACCATCCTGGGCAAGCGAAGCTACGAGCAGCACAACGGGACAGACGGTGAGCGTGGCCCGCGGGCGCTGGGTGCTGGCCGGGGACCAGCCTGCCCGAGTACCCGCTGACACTGTCTTCTCTCCCTCTATGTCCCGGGCGCTGCCAGGCAACATGAAGAAGCGCCTCCTGATGCCCAGTAGGGGTAAGGCAGGCGTGCCCCTGGGCGCCGGCCGGGCCGTGTCTGTGCTGTGCTGCTCATGCTTGGCGGGTGGGCAGGCGTGCAAGGCAGTCCACGCCGAGCGCCAGCCCTGGGCCTACCCCACCTGGCCCGCCTCCTCCTTCCAGGTGGGGGGTCCCGGACAGCACCCGGCCCGTGGACGGTCTTGCACGGTGGCCCTGGTGCCCGCGCTGCCCTGTGCTCGCGCTGTGACTGCCGCATGCTTTGCGCCTGGCTCCCGTGGCCCGTGCTGTGCCTGCAGTTCTGTGTGCGCCTCTGCACGGGCAGCTCGGGGGTGCTTGGGGGGGGGGAGTCTCCCGTGTGGCTCCCGGCAGCTGCAGGGGCCGTCAGGGGGGCAGGTCTGGGGCCTCCCCCAGGGCAAGGCACTCTAGGGATAGCTCTGACTTGGGCAAGGGGCGTGCCTTGGGTGGGGTGTCTTTGAGCTGAGGCAGCGGCACTTCCCCCAAGTGGGGGTGAGATATTTGGGAGGTCAAGGCAGGGTGGGAAGGTTGCCCAGGTCTGAGGCAGTGGGAGAAGCTCGGGGTGCCAGTATGTGGGGAGTGGGTGAGGGGCAGTCCTCGGCACCCTCTGTGTGGGGTGGACAGTGACCAGGAGGCCCCAGGGCCCCCACGGAGGCTGAGCTAAAAGGGCAGAATGCGGAAGTACACCCAGACCCTTCCCGCCAGTCCCCAGTAACCTCCATCAGGCCACAGGGCGGGCATAGTGCCTCCGCGTGCCCCTCCCAGAGCCAACAGGGCTGAGGACCCCAGGGCAGGCCTGCCCACTTCAAGGGAGAAAGGAATATCAGAACTCATGCCTCCATCTTCTAGCCAAGGGGGAGAAAGAAGAGACCTCGAGCCGTGAACGCTTAGTGCGTGAGCGGAGTAGCACGCGTTTGTAGTTCGTGAGTGGGTGGGGACTCAGTGTCTTCCCAATGGTGGACGGAGCCAACTCCTCCGGGGAGAGGAGGAGCCAGGCCTGGCACCCCAGGGTATGCGCTTGGAGCAGGAGTGGCCCCCAAGGCCCAGAGCAGTCCCTGAGGGAGGCTGGGGTTGGGTGGCTGGAGCCCCCCAGCTGTGATGGAGCCTCTGGGTATGGAGCCCCCCAGGTATGGCCTTTTCTGGGGATGTCCTGCCATGTGCGAGTTGTGGCTGGGCCGTGGGGACCCAGAGGTGACAGCGCCCAGGCCCCAGTCCTGTCCCTTGGCACTCCCTCTTTCTTGGCTGATGTTGGCGGGGGGGGTCTCACCTCTTGCTGGCCTCCCCTTCTGGGAGGGAACACAACCCTGCGGGGCAGCAGAGTGAGCTCCTGGCCTGGCCAGCTGCCTCCTTCGCTCTCATGTGCTTCCTTGCTCACTGAGACTGTGCATGGACCTGCGCCTCACGGTCCATCGGCCCCATGGTAAAGAGCTCTGAGGGCTGGGGCCCCCTGGGCCTCTCCCCGGTCCTCCCAAGTCGTCTGTGGGGTGGGGCGAGGCAGGGGCGGCCCCCCAGGAGCCTTCCCTGAGTAGGCCCTCCGGCCCCCGCAGCCCCCAGTGTCATGGGAACGGCCAACTCACGTCTTGCGCAGAAAAGCAAGTTCCCATCGGGAAGCGTCTTTGGGCTTTAGGGGTTTGTGTTGTGGACAGCTGCTAAAACACAAGTGAGATGAAAGCCCACTTAGTTCACTGGTCTTTTTTAAGACAGTCCCAGTCTGTGGGTCCCCTGGTGGGAAGAGACGGGGCCTGTGGAGGCCACTGCCATGCCAGTCCCTGTCCCACCTGGTTGAGGGGCCACCCGCCACCCGCTGGGCATTAACACACCCCAGCCTGGGGGCCTGCTTCATGGCGGGCAGGGGTGGGGGGCACCGCCCCTCCCTCCCTAACTCTGAAATATGTGCTTGCTTTCTTCCGTCATCTGTCGAACGGCTAGGAGCCTTCCTAGGTAAGTCTCTCCCGTGGGCTTTGGGCCTTGGGTCTCTGGCGGACACCCCAACTCATGGCTGAGGGGCTGCCATGTGCCACAGCCTCCCCTCTGCCCGACCGGTGGGGCTCCTGGAGCTGGGAGGGAGGAGGCTGGGCCCGGCTCTTCTCCAGCAGAGGGTGTTTTGGCCTGAGGGGTGGGGCCTGGGCTGCCTGGTTCTGCTCCTCAAAGGGACTCCAACCTCAGCTGAGAAGTGTGTTTGGGACAAGGTATCCTGTGGGGCTGGCATGGCGGGTGAGCGGGCAGGCAGGTGGGCACGTGGCACTAGAGGGAACGGCTTTGTTCTGCCGGCGCCCCTGCCCCTCCCCAGCTCCAGCCAGGTCCACACCCCACTCCCCTACACAAATGGACACGTGCATTCGTGTGCTTGTGTGCACACATGCATGCTCACATACACGAGTACTTACTCACATGTACATGCACTTGTTCCCACTCCCGTGTACACATTCTCTTGTTCGCACTCCCGTGTACACAGGCGCTTGTTCGCACTCCCGTGTACACAGGCGCTTGTTCGCACTCCCGTGTACACAGGCGCTTGTTCGCACTCCCGTGTACACAGGCGCTTGTTCTCACTCCCGTGTACACATTCACATGTTCACGCTCATTCACACGTTCATGCTCACATCCACATGTTCGCACTCGTGTGTGCATATCGCGTGCCTCCACACAGAGGCAGAGCAGACAGGCAGCAGTGGCCCTTGCTGGGGTGGCCAGGGCTCAGGTGGCAGGCCTGGAGGCAGATGCTCGTCTCCACGTGTTAGGAGGTGACTGCCTGGTCTGGCCAGTGGCTTCCAGACCCCTGACTCCATAGGGTGGAGGAGCCCACCCTACCTGCCCCACTCCTAGGAGCTTCCTCCCAGGGTGGCTTGGCCCCAGGCCGCTCTCAGAGCCTGTGGGGAATTGCATCGGGAGTCTGGTGTGGCTGCCTCCCTGCCGGGTGGGCTCCGGGTGCTGCTGTATTGACTGCGGTGCTGGGCGTTGCCTGGTTACTGTGTAAACACCTCCTTTGTCTTGGCCGAGTCAAGCGGGTTGGGGGGTTGCCGCCCTGGTGAGTGAGCTGTCAGCCCGCCGAGGCCCTGCCTCCTACTTGGAGCCCAAGCACAGGTATCCCTGTTACCCAGCCCAGTGTGGGCTCTGAGCCCCGAGAGCGGGTAGGGCAGGCCTGGACAGGGTGCCATGGCTTTGGACCAAGGACAGCTCAGGCCCAAGGGTGTCCCGTGCCAGGCTGGAGTACTGCCTCGCAGCCTGATCCCCCCTGTGCAGGCCGCGGCTGTTAGTGGGTCCTTGCTTCTGGGGTCTCATGATTATGTCCTGGTTTCTCTCCTTAGGTTTGACAAACCATGGACAGACCAGGCACATGGTAAGAGGGGCCCGACCCCCGCATGTAAATATTACACGCATGCCCACATGTACACGCACGTGCCCTCGGCCACACACAGCATCCACACAATACCCTTGCACGTGCACAGTGTTGCACACATGTGCACTCGCCCACACAGAGCATGCACAGCATCCTCGGGTGTTTGGCACGAGGCCTGGGCAGCCTGCTTGGCAGCCCACCCAACCCGTGCCTGCGCCCCCTCCGCATGCTCACGTGCCCCCGACTGGTGTGGCCCTGCTAGGCACCATGTGGGGGCATCTGGGAGGCGGAGGGGGTGCTGCCCACAGGCCCCTGGTGCCAGGCCCAGCAAACAGGGCATTGATTGAACAGCCTCAGAGGGCCCTGCCGGTGGGGGTGTCGGGTCTGTGCAGGGAAGAAGCTGCTGTAGCCCTGGGTGTCTGCCTCCTGCTTGCGTGGCGCTGAGCACAGGTGCAGGGGGGGCAGCTGTCCTCGTGCACAGATTGGGGGACCTGAGACAGCCAGAGGTGGCTGAGCCCCCAGCCCCACCTCCCCCCACCCACTCGGCCCACCTTGTCACACCTCGTCACACCTCCCCTCCCGTCTGCTGCAGGGACCAAGCCGGAACCTGCTGCTCAATGGGAAGTCGTACCCCACCAAAGTGCGCCTGATCCGGGGGGGCTCCCTGCCCCCCGTCAAGCGGCGGCGGATGAACTGGATTGATGCCCCTGATGATGTGTTTTACATGGCCACCGAGGAGACCAGGTGGCAAGGCCTTCCCTGGGGTTGGGGGCGAGGGCCATACCCGTTCCCAGCCTCACGTCCTGTGCTCTGTGTGTCCCCGCGCCTGCAGGAAGGTCCGAAAGCTGCTGTCGTCCTCTGAAACCAAGCGTGCCGCCCGCCGGCCCTACAAGCCCATCGCCCTGCGCCAGAGCCAGGCCCTGCCCCTCCGGCCACCGCCACCGCCACCTGTGAACGACGAACCCATTGTCATCGAGGACTAGGGCAACCGGCCGGCGTGCCACCGCCCAGAGCCGCCGTGCAGTGTGACTGTGGCGCCCAGCCCGGCGGCGTCCCCCAACCAGACTGCTCCCGCCTGCCACCGCCGCCGCCTCCTCCCCTCTCTTCAGTTTTTGGTAGTGGCCCCTCCCGTGCCGTCCCTCCAGAGAAGGTGCCCCTCTCGTGGACACTGGAGAGAAGTGCGGTTAACTTATTCCGAGAATGCCCAGAGCCCCTAGCTTTGTGTTAACTTTTGGCCGGAGCGGAGACGTGGCGCCTGCCCTCGGGCCCCGGGTGCACTGCGGGGCCTCTCGTCCCAGCGGGAGGCTGGCTTGTAAGATTTCGTTGTGTTCTGTTGAAGGTGCCATTTTAAATTTTATTTTTATTACTTTTTTTGTAGATGAACTTGAGCTCTGTAACACTCACACCCGGAATGTTAGGGTTGGTGTGGTCGGCGCCGGCTGTGCTGCCTGCCGGGTCGGCCCTTGTCTTTTCAAGTAATTTTCATATTAAACAAAACAAAGAAAAAAAACTCATTAAAAAAAAAAAAAAAAAAACCTGGTCCTCCCCCCACACCTCGTGTCTTTCGTCCACGGCCCCCTCCTTGTCTTAGACCCTCCTGAACCTTCCCTGCAGGCCCCCTGGGTCCCCCAAGCACAGCCCAGCCCCCAGGCCGCTCTCAGGGCAGACGAGGCCCCGTCTCCCTCGGACCCCTGGGCTACCCTGAGCTAGGGCTCTACTGGGTCGGCTGGGGCAGCAGGTGCGCGGGCAGGTGGGGGTCCCTAAGGCTGGTGGTCGTCCCGTGAGCACGCAGGCCCTGGGGAGAAGACTCGTCTTAGTGGTCCTACCCTGCAGCTGGGCTTGGCGTCCTGCCATGACCTGTGCCCTGCACCCCCACCTCCTGCAGGCCAGGGCCAGCACCACACTCGAGCTGTCCAACGTGCCCCTCCTCTGACCTGTTAGTGCTGGAGCCGCTAAGGGACAACCAGCGTTGCAGGAGCCCCCCTCTGTCACATATGCAGGTGGCGGGCTGTGTCAGCCTGGGTTTGTCTGAAGCAGCAGCCTGCAAGTTCAGCAGGAAACTCAGAGAAGCCCTTGGGGCTTGGGGCAGGGAGAGGGCCAGAGTGAGTCACTTGGGGAGCTGTGGCAGGCAGTTGGGAAGGGCAGTGCCCACATACGGGCCCCTGGGGGCCTGGGGCTGGTTCTGGCCCCGTTGGTCACCCCAGAGTGCCTGTTCTGTGCCCCTCCCTCAGCCCCAGCATCTGCAGGTTGCCTCCCCTCCCCTGCACTTTCCTCCCCTGGCATTCCTGGGTTGTGGGACGCCCGGGTGAGCCTGGCTCCAGCAGTCTCAGAAAAATGGGTTTGGGGGCTGCTCCTCCCGGGGCTGCCCCAGACTGACCCTGCTGGGGTGGGTGAAGTGGCTCCGCCCCATCCCCTGAGCCCCTCCCACACTTGGCAGACCTGGCAGCCCATCTCTGCCCCCGAGGGTCGAGACAGCAGATCAGCGAGGCCTGGCAGCCCAGGGCCTGGGCCGTCCTCCACGGTTGGCAGGGCCTGCCCGGTTGTCTGAGGCGTCCTGCTTGGAGCCAAGGGGGCCGCCTGCTGGCAGGTGTGGAATTTCCACAGGGAGAGTTTTCAGATTTCAGCCAGTCCCTTGTTCTCAGAAATCCTACCTCCGTGCTCCCCCTGTGCCCCACCCCTGCAGGCCTGCCGGACAGGTGCACCCGGAGCCCAGGAAGGTCTGGGTGGTGGCCCTGCCCCCTCCCCCCTCTTCCAGCCCCGCTTTCTGCTGGGGGCCTGTGATGTTGGAAATCTCAGTGGGGAGTTAAAATAGAAACCACTTGTGTATCCGCCCTGAGGCAGATAAGTGGGTGTCCTGGCCTTGGCAGAGTCTGCCGGGGGGTGACAGGCCTGGGTGTTGGGAAATGACCGCAGTACACCCCACCCCTGCCAGGAGCTGGCTGGCCCCCACTCCACAGCCATTTTGGCTAATCTGCTGTCCCGGTACCCCTGCCTGAGAAGTGCCCCACTGCCGGGAGTTACCTACAGTGTCGGAGCTGGGGACTGGGGGGCAGGGCCATGACCTTGAGGAAGTTGCTAGCCTTCCTGAGTCCTTTCCAACCTCAGCCCTAGGGGCTGGAGAATGGCACGGGGGCAGGAGGCTTCGCCTCAGGCCTGCTGGGAGCCTTGAAGACCTTGGGTGGGAGGAAGGACCCTCTGAAGACCCCAGCCCCGCCACTCCCCTGCCAGTCCCCTTTCTGTCTTCTGGTCTGGACCTTCCAGCACTGAGGTGTTCCTGAGCAGGCCCAGAGGCCCTGGCTCTCCCCCACCCCCAGGCTGCCCTGCCTGCTCCCCTGGGCCTGCCGTCTGCCATCCTGGGTGTGAGGTGCCTCCAGTCCCAGGCCCTTGGTGAAGCCTCGAAGGGCTCCTCTCACAGGTCCTGGCCGCCAGCACTGTTCAGGCGAGGAGAATCAGGATCCCTGCCCATCCCTGGGGTTCCTCCTCCACCAGACTATCGGGCAGGCCTGAGCCCAGGGGGTGGAAGGGTGTCACAGGCTGGGGTGGGCAAGGGGGCTCAGCCCAGGCGGGTGGCCACACCCCACTTTCTCCTGTAATGTCCCTTCCCTGCCCAGCCCCACAGCAGGGGTGCACCCCTTCGGAGCTGAGGGGCCAGCCTGGTGACCCTGGGCGTGTAGTGGGAATGAACTTTGTGTGCCCCAGGCTACACCTTGAACCACCCACCTGCCCTGGGCCTCCCCCATTGTCCACCCCTCAGCCTAGGTGTGGGTTTCCCACAGCAAAGTAGAGACTGGAAAGCAGATACGGGGGATCCCAGATGACCCGACAGGGAAATAAGGGAGCCCTGGGCCATCCAGCAGGGCACTGCACTGTATCCGCCTCTGCCACCGCCCACCCGGGGCCCCACCTGCACCTCTGGCGCTGGGAGCCCATAAGCTCTCACTGCCCCAGCTACATCGACCTCGGAAGTGGAGGTCGAGGCTACTGCTCTGCCGTCCGTTGACCTGTGTCCCTTCCTGCCAGGCCCAGAATAGACCCATTGCTTCAGGGAGCTGCTGGCCCTGGCCCGGAGACGGCCCCCAACTCTGCTGCTTCCCTCCTCCCCAGGGGCTGTGCCAACGCCATTCCTGGGCCGACACCCACATTCCCCAGCAGGGCTGGGGGCCTCCTCTCTTCCGTAGCAGGCCTGAAGATATTAGTGGCCAGGGGTAGGGCTGCGGAGGGGCTGCCCAGCCTGGAGCTCCCAGGCTGGGAATGGAAGGGGCAAGGTAACAGTGCCAAGTGGGGGGCAGGGGCCCATGAATTATTCAGACACCAACTCCCAGCCTGAGCCCTAAGGCAGGGAATGACTGAGCCTGGGCTGGCTGAGGTCCAGAGATGGAGTGGCAGGGGGTGGGGGTGGAGGGGTGGAGGCTGGTCAGGCTGGTCAGTCGGGCTTGGGGGGGGCACATGTTTCTGGGCTGTTGTTGCCATGGAAACAGCAGTGTCTGTGGGACATGAGTACACGTAGGAGGAAACTTCCTGCTGGGCTCCCGGGTGAGGGGCCGCCTGGGGAACCAGGCCAGAAGGCCGAGTAAGCATCTGTATTCCCCAGGACCCAGGGCAGGGGGCCTCGGGATACTGGCTCCCTTACCCTTTCACTCCAAAAATATGCCAGGTGCAAGGGGCCAGGTGGGGATGAGGGAAGCCCCGACCTCATCCTCTGCTGGCAGGTACACCAGGCAGAGGAAGTGGGCAAGGTCTCGACCCCAAAACCAGGCTATGGGCCCCAGACAGGGCTGCTCTGCCTCCTGGGGTGGGGCTGGAGCCCAGACTGAGCCTTGCCCTGGGCTAAGGGTCTGGGAGCCAGGCAGAGAATGTCTGAAGGGGAGGTGGAGCCAGGAAATGAGGCCACGGGAGGGCAGGGCGGGCAAGAGGGCCCTGGCTGAGGGACGGCTGGGGTACCCTGGGGGCCCTAAGGGCTGGTGGGTGGTGACCGGATCTGACTTGCTTCCCTAGCCCGACAGGAGTTCCGAGGCCTGACCTCCACATCATCAGTGGGTCCAGAGAAGGGATGCTTGCCGCTGAGGTCCTGGGTGGTGGGGAAGTATGGATTTGGGCGACAGCACAGCATGTGTCCCAGGGGGACAGCCCTTCCCCCCTGTCCCCCAACGCTTCCGGCCCACGGTCTCTCTGGCTGCCCCCGGGTGGGGGTGCTTGGACAGATCGCCTTTAGCGCGTGCAGCGCGACCCCGGCGCTGGCGAGTCCCCCTGGTTGCTCCTCCCGCTCTCAGATCCAGACCCCATCCCACCCGGCGCGTAGTTTCTCCCCGTCGTGTTTTTTGAGGCGGCTAGCGCGGTCCCCAAGCCTTGCCTCCACCGCAAGCCTTCAGCACCACAGACAGTGTTAAGTTGGGGGAGGGAAGCGGGGACCGGGACCGGACCAGGACAAGACCGGGACTGGTGTGGGTGGCCGCGGCCCCGCCCGGAATCCGGCTCCGATCCTGCCGCGCCGCTGTTGCTGTGGAAACCGAGCAACAAAGGGAAGCCGAGATGGATGGGCGCGCGCGCGGCGGGGCGGGGTGAGGATCCTCCCGGAGCCCGCGCTCCCAACCGGGCCGGTCTGGCTGGGCGCGGGGGGCTGGACCTGCCCGTCGGGGCGTCCGTCCGCGTCTTCAGGGGCCGCCGGTGAGGGCCCAGGCCCGCTTTCCAGTGCTCCCTCGGAGACCTGGGGGCACCGGCTCCCCGCCCCCGGCCCCGCGACCTCCACTCCCAACCCGACCCGGCGGCCCCGACTTTGCCATGGAAACAGCCTGGGCGCGGGCGGCGCCGCATTCGCTGGGGCGGGCCCTGTAGACGCCTCCTCGGGCGACAGCGGCGGGGGGCGCCAGGCTGGGGCTCC